CACACAAGTCCTAGGTGATATTTATTCAGAAATATTGAAAATTCAGAAGGATTCACAAACTTTTAAGCAGCACTGTAAGAGCCACTTCTCAGCAATCTGCTCATTTGCATTGCTGCTGTTCACATGCCCAAGGACTCTTTGCTACATCATCATCATCATCATCATCATCATCATCATCATCATCATCATCATCATCATCTTGTTTGCCACCTGACTCTCATTCTTTCCCTATTCAACTAGATCAGAGAGTTTCAATTTTCTTCAGGCTCAAAATCATAAAAATGTATTTCCCAGAAGAGGCAAAACTCTAATGACAGAAAACTGACAAACACACATTTCATCTTAATTTATGGAAATGTATATATGAACATTTGAATTTCACACAAAAAATGCCCCAATTACTGTCCCAGAAGGTTCCCCCTTTTATGATAAATATTAAAACGTAAGCTTTTTATTGTAAGTACAAAATGTTTCCAATGTTCATAAATTAAAACTTGCATTTCACAATCACCTGGGAGTTTAATATTTTAACCAAATTATTGTCAAATGACTGGGATGCAATGTTTTTCCTTTTCCTTAGGAAAAACCTCTATAGATGCCCCTGGTGAACTTTTATTTTATTTTATTTTTTGGTGCCTGTAGTCTCTCATGAACCCCATCAAGTTCTCATGAAACCCTAGGGTTCAATGTGAAACCCTAGAGCACAATTTGAAAAACCCTGCTTTAGCTGCAGATATGATTTCCTGTATGGATTTTATTGGCTACTCAGAGTAACGTCTTAAAACATGGGCACTGACCTAGAGGTCACCTTGTAATGTGTCCCCAGTTTTTGCAAAGTTTAAAATGAGGATTTTATAAATGATTATTTTAAGTTTCTGTATGCTAGTAACTGCACTCCAAAGCATACAGAAATGTTTTCTTAGTTTGAACACTACTGAAATTTGTGCTGCGTGGAAAGCTGAACTGATCTAATAAACAAATGCTTCCCTTTGCTGCTTTTCTAATAAATCCTAAAAAGGCTAAATATAAGATAGAGGCTGACAGTGCAGTTTTTGAAACATGCCAAGTAGTCAGTGAATCTAAGCCATGTGTCTAGCCAACTCATTCTTGGGAGTTGGACAAATTGATGTGTCAGACTTCTGCCTGATCCTGCCTATGTTTTAAAGATGTTGATCTTGAGCTATTTTTCTAGACAGTGCCCTACAATTATTTTGATAATTTGACTAGAAGACTTGAGGGCTTTTGCTGTTTTGGAAGACATCTGATATTTCAGTAAGAAGACAACCCTGGATATCTGCAATGCTTGCATGTATGTGTTCCAGCAAATAAGTCATAATATTTGTATCTTGTCTCCATCAGTTCTCTATTCTGACATTGTGAGGCTGTCTGTCTGTCTTTTCCTTCCTTCCTTCCTTCCTTCCTTCCTTCCTTCCTTCCTTCCTTCCTTCCTTCCTTCCTTCCTTCCTT